ATGCCGATGGTCAGCACGATGCCGGCGATGCCCGGCAGGGTCAGCGTCGCCTGCAGCCCGGAGAGCGCGGCCAGGATCAGGACCAGGTTGACCAGCAGGGCGAGGTTCGCGAACAGCCCGAACAGGCCGTAGGACGCGCCCATGAAGACCATCACCAGGATCATGCCCAGCACCGCAGCCAGCTCGCCGGCGCGGATCGAGTCGGCGCCCAGGCCGGGCCCGACCGAGCGCTGTTCGATCACCGTCAGCGGCGCCGGCAGGGCGCCGGCGCGCAGCAGCAGCGCCAGGTCCTGCGCCTCCTGAACGCTGAAGTTGCCGCTGATCACGCCGCTGCCGCCGAGGATCGGCTCGCGGATCACCGGCGCCGAGATCACCTTGTCGTCGAGCACGATGGCGAAGGGCCGGCCGACGTTCTCCTGGGTCACCTGACCGAAGCGCTGGGCGCCGGTGGAGTCGAAGCGGAAGCTGACCACCGGCTGGCCGTCCTGAAAGGTCGGTTGGGCGTCGGTCAGGTTCTCGCCGGAGACCAGGATGCGCTTGCGCACCACGATCTGCCGCCCCGGCTGCGCCGGCTCGGACTGGCTCGCGCCGCTCTGCCCCTCTTCCATGGGCAGCAGCTCGGAGCCCGGCGGCACGGGATCGACGCCGGGGCGCACCTCCTCGTTGACCATGCGGAAGCTGAGCTGCGCGGTCTGGCCCAGCAGGTCGATCAGCCGCTCCGGATTCTCCACGCCGGGCACCTGCACCAGGATGCGCTCGTCGCCCTGGCGTTGGATCGAGGGCTCGCGGGTGCCCAGCTCGTCGATGCGCCGCCGCACGATCTCGATCGACTGCTGCAGCACGCTCGACTGCCGCTCCTGCTTGACCTGGTCGATCAGGCGGATCTCGCCCGCGCCGCTATCGCCGTCGACGGTCAACAGCGCGTCGCCGACGAAATTGGACAGGGCCTCGCGCGCGGCCTCGGCCTGGGCGGGGTCACGCAGGGTGAAGTAGACGCTGTCGCCCTCGCTGCGCAGGCCGGTGTAGCCGATCCGCTCCCGCCGCAGCTCGCTGCGCACCGTGTCGACCAGGTTGCCGAGCTCCTCCTCGAAGACGGCCTCCATGTCGACCTCGAGCAGCAGCGAGGAGCCGCCCTGCAGGTCGAGTCCCAGGTTGACCTGCTGGTTCGGCAGCCAGGACGGCAGGCTCTCGGACACCTGGCGGGGCAGCAGATTCGGCGCCGCGAAGGCGAGGCCGAGCAGCACCACGGCGAGGACCGCCAAGAGCTGCCAGCGGGAGAACTGGACCATGGGAATCGCAGACCTTCTTCAAGGCCCCGGCGGGCCCGCGCCCGCCGGGCCGGAACCGGCTTGCCCGGACTACTTGCGCTCGTCGCCCGCCGGCGCGTCCGACGTCTCGCCGGCCTCGCCGCCCGAGTCGCCGCTGCCGGCCTCACTCTCCTCGGCGGCGGCCTCCTCGGCCTCCGGCGCGGCCTTCTTCTTGCCCTTGGCCTTGCCGCCGCGGTCGACCGGCTCGTTCTTCGCGACGACCTCCTGCACCGTGCCGCGCAGCATGCGCACCTTCACGCCGTCGGAAATCTCCACCTCGATCTCGCTGTCGGAGACGACGCGCGAGACCGTGCCGTAGATGCCGCCGGCGGTGAGCACGCGGTCGCCGCGGCGCAGCGCCTCGACCATCGCCTTGTGCTCCTTCTGACGCTTCTGCTGCGGCCGGATCAGAAGGAAGTAGAAGACGACGAAGATCAGGATCAGCGGCAGGAAGGTCAGCAGCGCGTCGCCGCCGCCGCCGGCGCCCTGGGCGTATGCGGGAGAAATCAGCATCAAGTCCTCGTCTCGTTCGTGCTGCGAAGGGGCCTGCGCACGAGCCTGGCTCGCCTGCCGGTGTCGCGGGCCTTGCGATCTGGTCGGCCGGAGCGGCCGGAAAAGACCGGCGGACTATAGCCACGTGCCCAGGTTTTGCAACGCCAGCGGCCAAAATCCGCGCCCTTGGCGCCGGGCCCGGCCAGATTGACCCTGCCCGCGGCGCGGACTAGCTTCGCGGGCCTTTCACCCTTCGCTCCGCTGCCTCATCTAGGGGTTTTTCATGCCGTCGTCCAACGCCGAAGACCTTGCCCCCCTGCTCGCGCGCATCGCCGACGCCCTGGACCGCCTGTCGCCGCCGCCGGTCCAAGACGCGCTCGACGCCAGCGCCGACGGCTACGTCTGGGACGCCGAGGCCGGCTGCCTGGTGGCGGTGCCCAGGATCAACCGCGTCGCCTTTCCCCTGCTGGTCGGCATCGACCGCCAGGCCGGCCTCTTGCTCGACAACACCGCGCGTTTCGCACGCGGCCTGCCGGCCAACAACGCCCTGCTGTGGGGCGCGCGCGGCATGGGCAAGTCCTCCCTGGTCAAGGCCGCCCACGCCCAGGTCAACGAGACTCTGCGCAGCGACCCGAGCCTGGCGCTGGTCGAGATCCACCGCGAGGACATCCCCAGCCTGCCGCGGCTGCTGCAGCTCCTGCGCGCGCGGGCGCCGCGCCGCTTCCTGTTGTTCTGCGACGACCTCTCCTTCGACCAGGAGGACGCCAGCTACAAGTCGCTGAAGGCGGTGCTGGAAGGCGGCATCGAGGGACGCCCGACCAACGTGCTGTTCTACGCCACCTCCAACCGCCGTCATCTGATGGCGCGGGACATGATCGACAACGAGCGCTCGACGGCGATCAACCCGAGCGAGGCGGTGGAGGAAAAGGTCAGTCTGTCCGACCGCTTCGGCCTGTGGCTCGGCTTCCACAACTGCGACCAGCAGACCTTCCTGGCGATGGTCGAGGGCTACGTCGCCCACTTCGGCCTGGAGGTCGACCAGGCGCGGCTGCAGGCCGAGGCCAAGGAGTGGGCGGTCACCCGCGGCGCGCGCTCCGGCCGCGTCGCCTGGCAGTTCATCCAGGACCTCGCAGGCCGCCTCGGCCAGCCGATCGAGCTCTAACCCGCCGGCGCGCTCAACGCCGCCAGGGCGTCGCCGAACAGCGTCGCCCGCAGCGCCAGCCAGGACTCGCGGTCCGGCGCCGACAGCAGGCCCAGGCTGCGGCCGTCCTGCGGCCGATAGGCCCGGTCGTCCAGCAGCCGCGACTGGCCGCCGGCCTCGCGGTGCAGCAGCACCCCGGCCAGATGGTCCCAGGGCTTGGTGCTGCTGAACAGGCTGAAGTCGGCCTCGCCGGTGACCAGGCGGACGTACTCCAGGCCGGCGCAGCGCAGGCTGCGGATCTGGCGCACCCGGCCGCGCGCCCGCTCGACCCGCGCGCGCAGCTCCGGGTTGCCGCGGAATCCGGCGTGCAGGGTGCCTTTGAGCGCCGCCAGCTCCGACGGGGCCGCAATGCGCAGGGGGGCGCCGCGCAGCTCCGCGCCGCCGCCCAGCTCGGCCAGCGCCGTCTCGCCGCGCACCGGGTCGTGAATCCAGCCGGCCAGGGTCTCGCGGCCGCGGCAGAGCGCCACGATCACCGCGAAGCGCGCCACGCCGTGGGCGAAGTTGTAGGTGCCGTCGACCGGATCGACCACCCAGACCGGGTCCGGCGTCTCGGCCAGGGCCCGCAGCGGCACCTCGCCGCGCGCCACCATCTCCTCGCCGAGCACCCAGGAGCCGGGCAGCAGGTCGGGCAGCCGCGCGGCCAGCGCCGCCTCGGCCTCCTCGTCGGCGACGGTGACGAAGTCGTTGACGCCCTTGTCGCGCACCTCGTGGGCCGCCAGCGCGCGAAAGCGCGGCAGCACCACCTCGGCCGCGACCTCGGCGATCGCCGCTTCCACCTGTTTCGGGTCGATCCGCATGATGCCTCAGAGAATAGGCACGACCGGCGGCGGAACAAGAAAGGGCCGCGGGACATCTGCCCCGCGGCCCCCTCGTCGCTCGGACGTGAGCGCTGGTCGGCGGGCCTAGAAGCCCATGCCGCCCATGCCGCCCATGCCGCCCATGCCGCCCATGTCGGGGGCAGCGGCGCCTTCGTCCTTCTTCTCCGGCTTCTCGGCGACCATGGCCTCGGTGGTGAT